TTTTGCTGGCTGTAGCAGCGCTATAGCGCTGCTATAGCGCTGCACAGCAAAAACGCATAACAAAATGAAAGCCACACCTCCCCGATCATACATGCTGACCTGCGGGGGAAACAAACAAGGCCCAGACAAAGCCGGGATAACATGAACAAGGAAGCTTGGCGCCATCACAAAAAACCGGCGCTGCTTCTCGGAACATCGGGAGGCCATACCAGCGTCCGATCAGCTCGTAGCCTCGGCATCAAATCCTGAAGCTCACCCATTCAGACTGCAACAGCTGGTCGTGCATGTCACTAATGTATTGAGTAAACTGCCATGACAAGAAGGGCAGAATGAACGACACTGGAATTTCTGTTGGCGTAGTGTTTCGTCCATGTACTTTTCAACAGTTGCTACGTCCAGTTCTTGGCCCGTCTTCGCTTTAATGAGGCTTTCTTTCACATGAAGATGCATCCCTCAGCACAAAGTGCAGTGCCATGAGTAACGTCACATCATCTAAACAACACAGTATGTAGGACTTTGAAAGTCCACAGAAGCTTCCATTCCTGACAAAGCCATCCACATGTACGTTTTCTCGATCCGCTACCATCTCCTTCGCGCACGACGCTCGAATCGCGAGCAGGACTTGTTCCAACTGTCGAATGCAGTTCCTCCAGTCGTTGAGTTCTCTGACGAGAAACCCATTCGGAAGATGGTCCCACATTGTGCTGCTGGGCACATATTCTGAATGATTGTGCATCGTCACCTTGCTGATCAGCAATCCCGCTTCGTAGTGATCCCGTGATGAGATACTCTCGACGCGCGGCCAGTTCTTCATCAGTCAGTGACCGTTTATGAACCCTCATACACGCGTGACGGAACCTCCCCATTTGCTCCAACACAGTACGTCTTGAAAAAGAAATAGACTCCTAATTCAGTTGGTCTGTGCTAGAGACAAACTAGTTTAACTAGACCCAGCAACACTCTTCACCTCTCGACCCGTCCTTGCTCCCTCCCCCCCACCCCCCTCCCCCTCCCCGTCCCCCTACACCTCCACACCTTTGCTGCGGTCCCCCCATCCGACCGACCGACCTACCCCAGCATCG